AGATAATTAGCACTAACAAACCCCAGTCCAAGTGCAAACCCAATCTCAGATTTTTCTCTACTTTTAAAAAACTCATCAAGGCCAATTTTTAAGTGTTTTACTGCCTCACAGAAGCCTCTATCATTTATTTTATTGTGCTTATTAGAAGTGCATTACCATGGCCACCTATTGGCAGGCTCCACTTACATGTCCTGCTGAGGACTGTCTTCCTCCTTAACACCCAGCCCAATTGAGCTCCTTGTCGTTTGCCCAAAGCACAATGATGTTTCATGCTCCATGTGATGGGGACCACATCAACCTCTTTCACCGCTGTACCTCCAGCACCCTGCCCAAGACCTGATGTCACACAGTACCTAATTAACTACTGAGTGAATGATTGATCAAAAGGTACCCACAACTTCTATGCCTTTCTCTTCACTGCCTTCTCTGCTTAAATATGCTTTCCCTGCCTGGCAAAAGACCCCCTATGACAAGCTCAGTTGTCTCCAATGCCTTCCTTAGACTCCTCCAAGTAGAACTGATAACTTCCTCTTTTATGACTGCTCTGTGCCCCACCTATGCCACCTGTAACTCTTTACAGCACGGATCTATTTACAGCCAAAGAACAAAGGGACCTCTGGAGTTTGGCTAGGAAAAGAGGATTCAAGGGGCCATAGCAACTGTCCTTAGATATCTGGAGGACAACCTGTAGACGAGGGGCTAGATGAGTCAGATTCTCTGTGGCTCTAAAGGATAGAACTGGGTGGCATTATAAGGAGATGGATTTTGGTGCTCTATTAGGCAGAAGATCGTCTCAGGGCTGTCTTGTGAGCTCCTGGCATTGGTGTTCAAAGCTTGGCTGAATTACTATGCCAGGAATATAGTAAACATGATGTCTACAGTGGGTGAGAGGCTGTACCGGGTGACTTCCAGGTTCCTCCCAAATCTGTGCAGAGGTAGTGATGCTCAGTGGTTAAGAAATGCTTTGAGTAAGATGGTCAAGTACGAATCGTGGCTCCACAATTTATTAGCTCTGTGACCTTGAGCAAGTCAAATGACCTTCCCAAGATCTTGTTTCTTTAATTTTTGAAAAAAGTTAATGATACCTACTCTTTAAGATTATAATGAGGGTTAAATGCAGTTATATCTGTGTGAAAAGCAGCATGGTCACTGGTCATGGCTCAGTAAATGTTAGTCGTTATGTCCATCTCTGCCTTGATCTGTGCACTGAACTGCACTCTGGTTCTCACCTACATGCCTTGGTCCTCATGCTCCTTGGCTTGGAGCCCTCCACCCTGGTCACCTACCTAATTCTAGGCATCCTTCCAGACCTCGCTCAGGGAGCATCTCCTCCAGTGTTTCAGTCCTCCTCTTACTACCCTGAACAAACCCTTATGACAGTGCCATCCTCTGCCGGTTGAGGGCATGACTGTTGTCTTACTTTTCTCTGTCGAACACAGTGTCACCCATGGTAAATATTCTGTTCCTTTCACTTGCAGCTCCAGGTTGCGTTCTGTGTTCCATGTCTGAGTAAAGACTTGACAAATCATGTACCCACTTCTGCCATTACGACCATAAACACACTGGTCTTAAACTCCAAGGCTCTCATTCGGAGTGCTTTCTCCTGCACTAGTGTCTCCTTTTTGATATATTCCTATATCAGTCTTTTGAAAAGACAATGAAGTTTTCCAAATATGGACAATCAGCACAGCCCCATGGCTGCTCTGGTGCCCTTTCCTCTTGCTTCCCCTATTGAGGCTCAAGGGCATTTGTCATTCCCCGTTTCTTTAAGCTGGTGTCATGCTTTCTTACTGAAGTGACAATGTTCACTGAGCATGTGAAGTTCACCAGGAACCATCTCCTGACATCAAAACTTAGTATCTCTTCAAGTTCTGTTCAAACGTGATGCTCGATGGTGGCTGGAATTTAATGAGCTTACTTGGCACTAAAATTCAAATTTGCTTTCATTTTGTTAAAGCAACTCAGCATTTTGGTTCAAGATGCTAATGATGATAATTGGACCCAAAAAAATCTGCATGAGAAAAAGATGAGCTGGAAGCTGGGAGAGGGATAGAATATTGAGGCCAAATTTGTGTAAACATTACTACACAGCCCAGAATGGACAGCTACTTCTATTTATCATGCTAATTATTCCACCAAGTGGTGAGAAAGTCCATGTAATGAATCTGCTGACCTCCTAGAGTCAACATATGAGCAGACAATACTACGGGGGGGGGGGGGGGGGGGGGGGGGGGGGGGGGGG